GCCCCGCCCCGCCCCGCCCCGCCCCCGCCGCGGGCGCGCACGCTCTGCGCTCCGCTCCAGCCCTGGTCTCGGTTCGGTCATCTCGGACGGCCGCTGGTCAGAGCTTTCCAGGAGGCTGTTTGATGAGGCAGGCTCTGTCTTCCCAGTAGCATCATGCACTCTGAGGTCCACGCTGTTGCTGCTGTAGAATACAGGTCCCTTAGCATCACTTTCATTTGGTGAGGTCTGCGGGCTGTCCGGGACTTCGTGCCACTGCTCCAGGCGTGCCGACGCGATGCGTCACAACGATGGGTGCCTGGGAGGCCGTGGGATCACACTGGTGAAGACAGGGCCGTGTGTCATGCAGAGATGCGGACGCAACAAAACAGGGTTGTCTCTGAGGGCCCAGAGATGGGCTCGAATTTACCCTCGATCCACAGGGTAAAAGTTAAACGTTGAGAAGAAGGCAGAGGTGGGGCAGGCGAACTGGCAAGGCCCCCTGGGCCCTTACGGGAAGAGGAGTGGGTCTCTGGGAGTCGTCCGACCCAGGCAAGAAATGCCCAAGGGCTGTATATGGGGGCAGCAAGGTCTGAAATCTGGGAGCTGGGGTCAGGGTGCAAAGTTAGGAGGGGGAGGGAGGGAGGACAGTTAGGGCGGGAGCTCAGGTTGTTGACAGAGCATGGAAGGAGGTTGGGACCCAGGCGAGGCTGCTTCAGCCTGGGGACATCCTGCAGGGTGAGCTCCGCCCTGACCCCAGAACACGCCAAGGATCGTTCAGATACTGCCAGTGCTTGGCGGAGGCCCCGAGCTCTGTGCTTCCCAGTCTGAGGGCAGAAGCAGACGGCATGTGTGGGTGGGCGGTGGCACTGGGGCTTTGTATGAGCTCTGTGTTGCCTTGGTTGCCACACCCTGTCGGCTGGCAGAGTCCTGGGTGAGCTTCTTTACAGACAGCTCAGCTGCCCCCTAGAGGATCTGCTTCATGGGGTCTGAGCGTGAGAGCTGTTCCTGACATGGCTCCCAGGGAACCGACTGAGCTGGTTCAGCACCTCGCCCGTGCTCCCAGGGGTCCCGAGTAGACAGGTGCGCCACCAGACCAGGGTGGTGTCCGCCGTCCGAGCACGTGCAGCAGGTCTGGGGGCTAGCTTGTTCTCCTGCCTCTGACGGTAGCAGTGCTGGTACCCGAATGGAGGTCCTGGCCGGGGTTCGTGTTGCTCTAAAGGAGAAACGCAGTCATTGCTGTTCTCTGCCAGCAGCCGGCTCGCTGAGCAGCTGGGAGTTCATGCTGACCCTCCCTCACTCCAGATCCTCTTGGAAGAATCCGTCAGCCTTCTGTCAGGACTCCCTGTTTCTTAGAATTAAGAGGAAACATCTTAAATGAAAACTTGTTTCCTTTTCTGTTGCGTTAACTTGTTCATTAAGTATCAAGTGGGTGCCCCCTGTGTGCCAGGTGCATTCCGGGACCCTGGGCACCGGTGGGAGGTAAAGCCTGGCCCCCTCCTGGGGCTCACCTTTCAGTGCGGGGATTAGAGCAAGTTGGGGTTTGGGCAGGGCTGGGCTGAGCCGGGGAGATGGGGGTCCAGGGGCCCCTGGGGACCCATGCTCTGAGTGGCTGTGCTGCTCTGTGTGCTGAATGACCATCGGGGACCATCGGGAGCGCAGTGAGCAGGGCGGGGATGGGCTCAGAGAAGTAGCCTGGGCGAGACGGCCAGGTCTCCAGGGGATGTTGTCTTCCCTCTGAAGGAGAGAGGACACCGTCCGAGGTTTGGGTAGCAGAGTAACAGTCTGACTGTTTTAAAGATGCCTTCTGCTGAGGTGAGAGTGCCTGGGGGGAGGGCGGAGTCAGGTGAGGAGGTCAGTGGACTGGGTGTGGGTGGGTGGAGGAAGCTGGTGGTTCTCCGATACCTGGGGTGTGGGGGAGAGAGTGGGCAGGCAGGATGACCCTGGGGTCTTGCTGAGCGGTTGGGGTGGGAGCAGGATTGCAGCGGGCATCGCTCAGGTATGGGGCCAACCTGTGGTTTTAAAATAAACACTTTCCTCTGTTAGCTGGATGCTTTTGTCGTAGCTGAAAGAGTGTTGCATCGCCAAAACTGAAAAAGTATAGTTTTTGGAAAGGATTTCTCACTTAGAAGGGCATGTGTGTTTTGAAAATGTTGGTATGGAAATGGAATTACAAATGATGTATTATTTCTATTTCTGAAATGAAAAAACTAGTTCCCATTGCTTCATTTGTTGTCTGTCTGATTTTCGATTTTTGTTCCCATGGTTTTAAACAGGACAAGGCGTGGTGTTGGAGCGCTCTATCTACAGCGACTTCGTGTTCGTGGAGGCGATGCACAGACAAGGCTTCATCCGGAAGCAGTGTGAGTCCGGGCTGGCGGCCAGCCTTCCTGGCAGGGGTGCCGTTCCTGAAGGCTCTGCAGACTCGCCTTCCCTCTGGGTGATCAGGAGTCTCATTCTCTTCACCTGCCCCGGCGGCAGCCAGCATCATCGTCCTTTCCTCCTCTCCAGCACGTGCTGGTGTGCTGCATGGGGACAGAAGCACTGTGCTGGGGGGTGTTGAGAGTGGATGAGAAAGAAGACCTCTGGTTGAAGCAGGCTGGCCACGAGGAGTGAGGGGCACGTGAGGTTGGGCCAGGCTGCCCGCAGCTAGGAGCGCGCCGGGCGGGGCTGTTGTTGTTGACAGAGCATGGCCTGTGCGCCTGTGGCCATTTTCAGCTGCGAGCTGGGCTGCCTGGAGCTGGCGGGCGGCTCAAATCTGGGGCCCAGAGTAAGAGCTGTCGGTTCTTGAATGGGAGAGAGAAGCGAGGACTTGGAGGTGAGGCTGCTCTTGGTCTGTGTGCCCATCCTGTGTCTGGGTGGCCCTGTGTGCCAGAGCCCTGCTTCTGCCCCCGGCGCTGTATCCCATAGACACTTGGATAGCCGTTGGGGCCAGTCAGCCAGCGTTGCTGGGTGCAGGCTGTGTGCCAGGCTCTGCCTGAGGTGAGGACAGGAGGGTGGGCGAGACAAGGCTCCTGGGATTCTGGGGCGGAGATGGGCAAGGGGGGGGTGCCTGAAAGCAACACAGAGGCTTAGCTGCAGTGAATGCACCTGCTGGCCCCCCGGCGTTGCTCCCGTTTGCTGCAGAAGCGTGCCAGGGACGTCTGAGCCGCGGGGGGACGGGGTGTCGGGGCAGCGTCCTTGAGGAGCCAGCCCCAGGCCAGCTGTCAGCAGTGCAGCTGCGTCGGCGCAGTGCTGGTGTTGGCTCTGGGGCAGCGAGGAGCAGCGGCTGGCGGCGCGGGAGAGGCAGGCAGGGCTGCACTGGCAGGGCGTGCACTCGGCCGGGCTGCTTGGGCTTCCCTGAGTCCTGGGGCGCCAAGCTTAACTGAAGGTGCTGGGCACGGGAGGCGCGTGGCTCGGTTTGCGCTCGCTTGTCTGAAGGCTGCATCTGGGGAAGGGAAGTCAGGGAAGAGGAGGCCTGCTGGGAAGAGGTTGGGTCGGGTGGGGCCCCCGAGGGGCGGCCCGCAGTGCGCAGTGGGGTGTTTCTGAGCAGGGTGACCTGAGATACGGGGGTCATGCAGTGGGCAAACCCGGCGGTCAGCTTTGTGGGAGAGTAAAAGTGGGCCTGCCTGGGCTGGTGGGGGCCCCGCGTGAGGAGGACCTGGAGGGCCAGGAGGCTGAAAAAGTAAAGGTGTCCCCTTAAGTGTGGCCAGGGGACACTTGGCCTCTAGAAAGCTCTCAGGCTGGGGTTTGAATCCCAGTGTTGGACTTCGTGTAAGCTGGCTAATGTCTCTGGCCTGGCACCTAGGTCTGTAGACCTGAGGAGGAGAAGCATTGCTTTTTGGGGGCGCTGTGAGCGCTGGGGGTGCCCAGGCACCCTCATACCTGGTGACTGCGGCCAGTGGTCACAGCCGTGAGCAGTACATGGTTTGCAGGTTGCTCTGTGGCTCCAAGGGCCGCATATGCCTTTGCCATTTTATTGGTGTCTGGAGGCTGTCCGGACTGTCGGATGATGGGTGGCGCCTCTCTCGTGCAGGTGTGGACCACTACAACCAGGTGAAGAAGATCACCATCTCCAAGTACCTGCCCCCGCACGTGGTCATCTACATTGATGTGCCGGTTCCCGAGATCCAGAGCCGGATTCAGAAGAAAGGAAATGTAACTTAGCCTCTAACTCCAGGACCCGCCTCCTTTTTTGTGTCCTTTACTTCTGACCTAGATCAGCGCCTGACAGTGGCGTTTGTAGTCGAGGACCGTGCCCTGCCGACCGCCTTCGCAGGGATGGGCCCGCCCCTTGGTCCGCGAGGAGCAGGCACTTGTGCGGTGGATGGAGGAGACCCCGGGTCACTTGCTGCTCTCCACCAGGGCTGCCCAGTCCCCCTGTCCCTGGGCTGTTCTGTACGGATGGGCGTGCTCCTGACCACCTCCCTCAGCCCCGAACCGTTCTGTTTTCTGACGGGCTTTTCGTGCCCTGTTACCTGCGAGCTGAAAATGGTTTCTACTCTCCTCTCGGTGTGCCGCCCCCATCCGTGTAGCTCAGCTGGGCCTCTCTTCCTCTTTCTCCTGCTCAGTGGTTCTGGAGCAGCGGAGCGGCTGTCTCCACACATGTTCATTTACTCTTACGTTGGCTGAGGCAGTCAGGTGCCTGGAAGCCCCGCACTTCGAATTCCCGCGGCGCCACAGGCGTGACGCAGGGGCCAGCACAGACGGTCTTCGCCCTGATGACCAGTTCTGTCTGGGAGGATCGCTGCCACTTAGAGTCTTTTCCTGTGTGTTTGCCGCTCCCGAGCCCGTCCTCAGAGCTGGGATTCTTGTAGGTGCTCAGTGAGTGCCCCAATGGCAGGTCCCGGAAGGGCCGCAGAGAAGCCCAGTCGTCCTTTGCTGGGACTCCCAGCCGCCTCCCACATGTGGCAGTGAACACACACGTGACGTGGGCTCCCCTGCTGTTTACCGGCTGTGCGTTGTGTTGCCCATCAGTTTGCTCCTAGGGTGGGTGTAAGACTTGGGGAACAGCCCACCAAGTGGCAGGAGGAGGGAACTGCAAGTCAGAGGTGCTCACCCTCCGGGGAGTAGCTTTGAATACTTTCGCTTATAAAAGTGACATTTATTGAGAAATATGAAGGTATATGCATAGAATTCTCTAGATAACTGTTTTGTAACCTGGATAACAATATTTCAGAAACAATTTTGAGGAACAAATTAGAGCTATGAACTTTTTAAATTTTTCAGTATTTGATGAATACTGTCCCAAGCTGAAGTTACCACTGTGTCTAAGAAAAAGATACTTTATCAAAGGAACGTGGTGTCATTAGTACATGTGTATTCTCCTGTTCTAGTGGGAGAGACTTAACGGTAGACAAGAAAATAAGAAATACGTGAAGTGAAGGCAAATGCCATGAAGAAAAACAAGGCGAAAGATAACTTGGCCATTAGCATCGCTCAACTAGGAGAGGCTTTTAGTGTGGGAGCGTGCCGCGCGCAGTTGGAGCTGTGACGTTCTGAGATTGGCCTAGCGAACTTCCCATGAAAGGGAAGTGGGAGAGGGGAGGAGTGGGGGGTGGGGGTTGGAGAGAGTCGGGGACAGAGGAGGGGCTTGGGGGTCGATGGGGGGAGGTGGGCCATCCCCCTTGCACTGTCTAGTCGTCACCGCCTGCACGCAAGCGCACAGCGGAACAGGGAGCCGGGCATAACCAGAACGGGCGCCTTTCTGGCCCTGTTCTGAGTACGCACCTTAGAGTCTGTAAAAGAAGTCCAGCCGTGGGTTCACCTGGGCCGACCGGTGCTCGCTGCAGCAGGATGAGAACTGTTCTGGCTGGTACTGGGGCCCCTTTCTAACGCCCCAAGTTCCCCCGAAGTCAAATGCCCAGCTTGACTTGTTCTGGGGAAACAGTGTTCTTTGGTGGTTTCACGTTTTGCACGAGCACAGGAGAAAGAAAAAAGTCTAAACGTTGCACGCTGTGTCTGTCTGTTGCAGCCACATGAGATGAAGATCACGCCCGCCTACCTCCAGGACATCGAGAACGCCTACAAGACGGCCTTCCTCCCCGAGATGAGGTGAGCCAGTGGGGGCTCCCGATCTGGGCAGCCTCGCCAGCTTCTGGCCTGGGTGGCGGCCTGAAGTCTGGGGCTGGTGGCAGAGACAGGGACACACTTGCCAGGAGGTGGGTTTTGGTCGTTGCCTGGCTGGTAGGTGCGGTGAGGCAGTGGGCAAGGGTGCTGGAAGCTCGCTCTGCTGTCGCCCTCCTTCCGGGACCCAGTGTGAGTTTTCAGTGTCCAGATCAAGGAGCAGGGACCAAGGGGACTGAGTTGCTGCCATCCTGTTGCTTAATTTGGTTGACACCGGTTATTCTGAGGGCTTCACTTGTCTCTGAAGTTCTAGGAGCTCAAGTGCGATGCCCCCGCTCCCGGCCTCCAGCGCCATTTGGCGGCTCTCTGCCGTCTGTCCCCTGAGGCCCTGGGCTCCTGTACGTCCCTGTGACAAGCACTGCAGCGCAGGTGGCTTGTGTGGCGGCAGAGATGACCGTCCCGTCCCTACAGTGTCCCTGTCCCCTGTAGACACTGGTCTCGTGCCCGTGCGGTGAGGGGCAGTCCAGTCAGAGGGGAAGTCAGGGAACAGACCTGCAGGGGTCGCTGTCCAGCCTGCAGCATGTCCCTACTTCCGGCTCACCGTCCGTCACCAGTCCCCCGTGAGCCTGTTGCTGTTATGTGAACGTGAGGTGATGTTTAGAGCTGGAGCCAGGATGTCATGTGTTCATTTGTATAGGAGCGGACACTTGGAAAATTTACGTGAAACGTCATCTTGCTTTTTCTTACAGTGAGAGTTGTGAGGCTCTGCAGTACGATGCCAGGGGAGCTCAAGATGCAGGAAGGGTAAGACAATGGCTGAGAGATTGTGATTGTTCTGAACTTTGCTTCACATACGGGAGTTTTACAGATCAGGTGATGAGTTTAGCTCCTATTGGTCTTGGAGGCGTCTGTATTTTATAACCTAAAAGGAGTACCGAGGCAACCCATCGCACACCTGGTGATGAGCTTTTGATTTTCTTTTAAAATATTCAGTTTCTAGGATCCTAAAATTACGGAGTGGTGAAGATACAGAGGACCTTGGGCTACCTGCCCCAACATTTTTGTTAAGCAGACAGTAAAACTCAAAGTGGGTGTAGTTAACAGGAGAGATTGAGAGACTGACCCTCGAGCAGCGTGGGCTTGAACACACGCATGCACTTACACATGGGTGTTTTTCCGTAGTGAACCCCGTGGTCCTGCTCGGAACTGCAGGTGTGGGGGAGCCCCGTGTAGGGGGCGACCATAAGGTGTGCTCAGATGTTTGATTGTGTGGGGCGTGCTGTTCAGGGCTCACCTGTATAAAGATACTAGCTTGCCCCAGATCAGTAGTTGCACTCATGAAGTGCAGGTCAATCTCTCCAATTTTCAGGAGAACTTAACGAGTAATAGCCAAACAAATTGATAAAGAACAGCACAGGAACGTTTTCCTTCTCAAAAGTAAATATGAAAATTATGGTAATGAAGGCGCTGCAGTATTCGTACAAGAGCTAATAAATAGCTTAGTGAAGCAGAAAGGAGCCCAGAGACAGGTGCACACGCGCGCCCGTCCGTGTGTGCGCCTGTGGTTTGGTGCAGTCGGTGCTTTAAAGGATGGCGAAAGGTAAGGTAGAGGAAGCGGGCTGTTTCTTAAGTGATACTGAGGCAATTGACCATCCATTTGTTTTTTTTAAAAAGTCCGTATTTTATATCCTTTATTAAGCATAAGTTACTGAAAAACAAAACAAGATACAAAAAATTCTAGAAGAAAATACAGGCTTTGTGGTCTGGGTTGAGGTGCAGGTGGTGAGAGCACACAGAGAAGGCAGGGCAGCGTGGCTGCTGCCCCCTGGCGCGGGGTAGAGAGGGACGGAGGCCGGCAGGCAGGCTGGCGGTTCTACGCCCGGCCCCGTGCCCTGTCCCTGCACCCCGGCCCCGCCCTGAGATTCTGTCGGAAGGGCCTCCTGCTCGGCCAGATCCAGCTGCGCTTCGTCTCCTTCCCGACAGTCTCCTCTGTGCTGCTGCCTTGTCTGCGTCTAGGTCGTGTTCAGCCCTCGACGGACCGTCCGAGGGCAGGTACCTCCGCAGGAGAAGAGCACATTGTCTAAGCCTGTGTTACTATCTGAGTCCGTAATTGAATGCGCTCAGGTTCTGGAAGCCTGAGGAGCGTCCCGGCTTGGCTGTGCCTGGGGGAGGACTTGTCTGAAAGGCGCCCCCTGGGGGGCCGAGCTGCACGGACCCCAGGCCGTGGGTCGCAGGCCCTCTCCAGGAAACGCATTTGTTTTCCGGTTGCGATACTGCCCTGAGGGGCTGCGCTGCACCCTCTGGAGTAGAGTTACGTGGGCGGGAATGAGGAGTCAGGCGGGGTGTGGGTCTTCCTCCGTGGTCTTGACCCTCCCTGCCCCCAGCTCCTCGTCTCCGGACCTGCCAGCTCGTCTCCACACCGCCGCTGGGCAGGCCGGGCCAGGGCCCACGCCGGGGTCACACCCAGCCCCGCCTCACTGCCGGCTGCCTGTCTGACTCCAGTTCTTTTTGACTTCCCTACTCTGACCCTCCCTGCCAGGCACTTGGTTTATCGTGTACCAGACGTCTTCTCACGACATTCCTCTGTCCAGGTGGTGGAGGACATTGAGTACCTGAGGTACGACAAGGGCCCGTGGCTGGAGCAGGACGACCGCAAGTTTCACAACCTGAGGATGCTGTGAGTCCCCGGGCGTGGGTGCTGTGTGGGGGCGGGGGGGCTGTCTTTTCAAGGCTGGGACTTTGCCTGGGGCAGGCGCTCCAGAATCCTGAAGTAGCTGTGCCTCAGGCCCCCGGGTACAGCGGTGTGCACCCCGTCCCCTCCGCACAGCCTCTTACTTCCTCTGTTCTGGCGGTGAATTAAGTGATTGCAGTTATTAATTCAACAAATACTTTGCTCCCACCGTGAGGCAGGCATGATTCCAGATTTAGGGGCTATGGTATCAAATAAAAGTCCTGCTGTCATTGAAGATGCGTTTTGTGGGGAAGATAGAGAACCCCCAAATCAGTAGAACCTAGGTGGTGCTAACGGCTGTGAAGAAAGGTGGCCCTGAGAGATGGGCAGGGAGTGGCTGGGGTGCGAGTGACAGGGCACGCCTGGGGAAGTTTCCCGAGTGTGTGAGGCCTGGGCCTTGTGTCTGGGGGTGGGCACGGGGCATGGGCGCTCACAGGCGGAGAGGTTCTGAGGCAGAGGCACAGCGGGAGGGTGTGCACAGCGGCCCGGCCACTGTGGCGGGAGCCCGGTGCCGGGGGTGGGGAGGCCACGGCGGACGTGAGGGGGTATGCTGAGCATGCCACTTTGTTCAGCATGAGAAGCGCAGTAACTTGGCAGTATTTTGCCCGGAAAGCCCACTAGACGCTGAGCGAGCGCCCAGGTGTTTTCCTGGGCGGGTCACGTCAGCACCTATGCTCTGGTGACGACTGAGGTTCCAGGCCCCGGGGGGAGGCGGGCCTTCGCCCCGCGCGTGGGGATCGAGCTCCGGCCGAGGAAGACCGTCTGGGCTGCTGTGTCTACGGCAGTGGCCTAGGGTTGTTCTGCGGGCGCGTGAGCTGTGCTTCTGGTAGACGCGTTCCGAGCAGGGAAGGCAGACCTGCGCCCAGGAAATGAACTTTCCTGCGACGACCAGTGGCTTCCCCTCATGAGGAGGCCCATGGAGCCCACCCGCATTGTGCCCCCGGGCGGGGCCATGCTGGGGGCTCAGCCCCCGCTGTCGGCGCCCGGGGCACACACACCGGCGGGGCCAGGTCAGTGCTGGGGGCACACGTTGGGGCTGACCTCCTGTGGCCTCCCTCCTGCCTCGGTGGCCACGCCGCCCTGCGGCCCTCGGGGTGAGCGCCAGCAGAGCTGGGCCGGGACGGCAGTGTGGGTCTCCCCTGTGCAGACAACTCTGCTGGGTCGGTTTTTCTCTCCATAGTTAATGCCCTTGTATTTTTTCCACTTGGATGCATCCAAATATGAGCTTGTGTAGAGAAACTGACTGCCGTTAGTTTTCTGTCTGATGCTTGAAAGAGTAATTCTTCCTTTTGAACCTCTCGCTCGATACAGTTATTAAAACTAAGACTTAGAGTTTTATTCATTTTTTTACAGTTGTGTTTTTGCCTTTTAAGATGGAAGAAAGCCTATTTTGTACCAATCGGAAAGATGCTATGGTTGGAGGGGTGGGTATTGAGCAGAGAGAACAGGAGCGTCCTGGAGGAGGGTGTGGGTGGCTGCGAGAGGGCGTGCGCTAGTGCACCGGAGGGCAGTCCCGGCTTGTGGCGCCGGGGTCCAGACGGCGGGCGGTGAGGGTCAGGGAAGCAGGTGTGCACTGTGGGCGCGCGGAGCTTCTCTCCAGGCGGCTTCGGTCTTCATCACGAGATGGGAGACAGGTCATCAGCCCAGAGTGGCAGTGCGGGCGGGAGGGGCCGCACTGGAGGCTTGAGGAGGGATTCAGCCCTAGGATGCTGTCTAGGCGGTGGGGAGAGGAGTGGTCCGGGAAAGGGGCCGCCGGCGGACAGGGGCGTGAGTGTGAGGTGGGGGGGCTCTCTCCAGGCGAGGCGGGGGCTCTGGGCGTGGTCGGCGGGGGCGTGCCCAGCGAGCATGAGGGCAGGGAGCTGGGTGAGTGTAGCTGCGCAGTCCGCCCGGTGAGGGCCGTGAGGGAAGTCGGGCCGCGTGGGCTGGGGGGCAGAGTCACGGCTCTCAGGAGAGGAGGCTGGGAGACAGAAGTCCGGGTGAGCTAGGCCCCCTGTGACCGCCGCCCGGCGCGGGCCGGCCCTGAGCCACACGGCCCCTCCTGTCGTCTAGGGCGTGTGCGCTCAGGGGTGCCCGAGGGTCTCCTGTGTGTCTCCGCGGTCTGGGTTTAACGTGAGCATGTCCCTGTGTTAAATATTTACAAATTTGATTTTTCAATGGCTCCTCATGCCCATGAATCCACTGACTGATACATGTCAGGGCTGCCAGAGCGGGGCCTGCGGGGCCCACCCAGGCCTCAGCGGCGAGGAGTGGTTCTCACATGTTCGAAGGAGCGGAAGGAGGCGAAAGTGCGGATGTGAAGCCCTGGAGCGGCCATCGCGGCCTCAAGTATTTACTGGCCGGCCCTTCACAGGAAGAGCTGTTGACCTCGAGACACGGCATAACCCATTTACCGTTTCTCCAGGGTCGGTCACTTGGGTTATTTCCATTTTTTCGCATCTATAATTCTGTCGTCCTTCCTTTTGCTCCACTTCAGGTTACTTTCTTAAAGTGTGAAAGTGGAGCTACCAGGGCAGGCCGTGTGGGCACACTTACGCTGCTGCTGTGAGCCTGTTTTCCAGAAGCTGTGCCCCGGCCGGCGCCCTCGTGCCCGTCTCCTCGCGCCCTCACTAAGGCAGTGTGGCTAGCACGAGAAGCCGCAAGAACTTGTGGCTCGAGACCAAAGAAGAGCTTCTGCCTTACTCTGCGACTCACGGGCGCTCCGGTCTGTGGCTTCATTGCCTGTTCACTTGTCCTCTGGACCCTCCCTTCGTGCTTATGGATCTTTTCAGAGAACCAGCTTCGTGCTTTGCTGGTTTCTGCAGTTGTCCTCTCGTTTTCCATTTCATTACCTGCTCCGGTTTCATCGCCTTTTTAATCTGCTTCCTTTAGGCGTCAGCTGTCGTTTCTCTGGTTTCCTGAGGGCGGAGCTGGGATGGCTGACTCCGGGTCTCTCTTTTCTCACGTGAGCGCTCGATGCTGTCGCTGTCCCTCAGGCCTGGTTCCTTTGTGGCCCGAGCGCACGCCCGGTGAGGGCTCTGCCCTCACGCTGGGTAGGACGCTGCGTGGTCGGAAGCTGTCCTCCCCGACGGTCCCGGGTGGTGAGGGGGCGCTGTGCTGCTGCTATGCAGACGTCCCCGAGTCAGGCGGGCGGCGTGGGGTCCGGGCCGTCCGTGTCCTTGCTGCTCTTCCGCCCGCCGGTCTGGCCGTCGCTGGGGGGAGTGTTGGAGGCTTTAACCGCGTGGCTTTAACCTCTGTTTCCCCTTCGAGTTTTGCTCACCTCTGCCCCGTGGGCAGTGCTGCGCTGCTGGCCACGTCACGCTCGGGGCGCTCACGTCTCCCGGCGCGCCCTCCCCCGGTGCGCGTTCTCGTCCTGAAGCCGGCTTCGTCCGGAGCCCGAGTGTCTTTCCAGCTCTCAGTCCCTGTTGGCCACCCCTTCACCCTCAGCCTGAGCCTCTGGATTTGAAGTGTGTTTCTCGTGGGTGACATCTGGCTGGGCCTTGTGTGTAATCTCTCAGGCCGTGACACAGCTTGGACGGTCGGTTGAAAGTGAGTGTTGGTGCGTTGCTGTGCTGGTCGCTGCTTTCCAGCTGCTGCGCTTGTTCTTTGTTTCCTTCCCCCGCCCCTTTTCCTGCCTTTTCTGGCTCTAACTGGACGTTCTGTGAGTCCACTTTGCCCTCTGTCAGCACTTCAGCTGTGCTTTGTGAAGCGTTGTTGCGGTTTCCCGTCCTCCTCTGTCTGCTCCCAGGTGGCGCTGCCGCCTCAGGGGGCAGGGCCCCTCGTGGCGTGCCTGCCGTCCGTCGCGCTCTTCTGTGTGCCCTGATCGCCCAGCGCGCTGTTGTGCTGTTACTCCAGGACCAGCGATGGGCGCTCGTTCTTCTCAGCTCCCTTCCCCGTCGGGACACGAGCAACAGTGTCCCGGCTCTTTACTTGTTGGAGCTGAACCTGGAGCCCTCTTGTTGTTTAGAGCTCGGGGGTAACTTTGTTTTTTGTTTAGATAGTTACATATGTATATGTTTTTGTAAATTTACCTAAATGATGCTATGTACTATATATCATCCTGAACCTTGTTTAAAAAACACCTGCAGAGACGGACCGCAGAGATCCCGCGGCTCACCTGCAGCCCAGCACAGGGGAGGGAATAGCACAGTAAAGTGAGTCACGTGAATTTCTTGGTCTCCCAACGCATATAAATGTTATGTCTGCAGCAAACTGTAGTCTGATAAGTATGCAATAACATGTCAGGAAAAAAGTACATACTTTAATTAAAAAATACTTCATCGCTAAAAAACGTTACCCATCCTCTGACAACGCAGGATTGCCACAAACCTCCAGTTTGTGACAGACTCAGTATCTGTGAAGAGCAAGTGAGCCCGGTCTGCCTGAACCCCCTCCTGTCACCTCTGCGTAGCGCTCCACCTGTGGCCGAAACCTCGCGGTCTCAGCCTTAATCCTAGGTACTCAGTGGGTGCCAGCACCGCACCGGGAAGGTGTCTGAGGAGCATTTCCTGATCCCACAGCTCTCCTGAGGGGCCCCTCACTTTACAGGGGAGGAAACCAGACAGTGCACTGTGCCCTGGCCACGGGACGGTGGGGGGCGGGGGGGCCCTGGGCACGGCCGTCCCGCCCTCCCCCCGGCTCAGGCGTGAGTCCTGGTGGGATGGTGCCTCCTCCCCTGCGGTCCTCTGCTCGAATCCTCTTTCCCTGCTGCCCCCCACCTTCCGCCGAGTCCCACATGAGAGGCTGCTGGGCTCCAGTGAGTCTCCTTCCTTCCCTCTGCTGCCCTTGGGGTTCCAGCCCCTCGTTCCTGATCCCCGGTCCTCGGTCAGTTGTTTCTTCATCCCTCCCACCCCTTGTGTGCGTGCCCGGCAGGTTAATTTTCGTAAAATGTCACAGCGACCCTGTTTTTCTTTACTCAGGCCTTCAGTGGTATATCTTTGTTTAGGCCCGAATCCAAGTTTCATTTCCTAGAATTAATTCGGAGTCCTGGTCATCAGGTTCTGCAGACTCCTCGTCAGGATACAAACCATCTCCTGAGTCTGTGCCCTTGCCCACCTGCCCCGTAACTGTCCAGAAACCTGAGCCTCCTTCTGAGCATGGCTGTCTTCACCTTCCTCCTGGAGCCCTTCTCTTCACTTTTCCAGGCTGTCGTTTTATCTGGATTTATGTGTGATTCCTGCAAGTGCTGGCTGCTGCTGGGCAGAGCATGTGGAACGTGCACGTGGAACATGTCGCTGAGACGAGGCCGTGTGCGAAGGCTTCCGTGCCTTCCGTGGGCAGTGAGTGCAGGGCAATTTCTAAACGTAATCTGGAGTGTGTGTTAGTTAAGATTCCAGACCATGTCCAAATCCACATGTTAATAAGTTCATGATCTGACTAGTTATTCAGTTATGCTGGCACCAGAGCAGAGAGAAGGACCCTGTAGTTCCCTCGGAGCTTACAAATGCAGTTTTGTAAGCGTGCAGTTAGCTGTTTTCACTGTAAATGCCATTGCTCGTCTGTTCTCCCGGGTTTTACTCCTCTGCCTCCTCGGGATATTTCATGACAGTTTACAATGGTAATTACATGTGTGTTTTTTTTTCCGCCTAAGCACCATTTCTTACTTTAGGGGACTCAAGTGAAAATTATGACCAGTTTTCTAAGGTAATTATGGTAAACATCCCATTTACCAGTTACACTCATTTTGTCCAGAACCCAACCAGATTATGGCTTAGAGCATTTTTGTACCATCTCGGTGACGGGTGTTGGTGTATGATTACGTACGTGTGCGTGCTGGTTTTTCAGCCTTGATCACGTTTGGTGTGCTGACTTACCGGCACAGCCCTGGTGGGCTTCATCCCTGAGCTGGTGACTCACTACCAGTCAGGCCTCCCTCCCCCGGGCCCTGAGCCTCCTCCCTCAGCCCCTCCCGAGCCTGCCCCCACCCCGCCCTTGCTTGCTTCATCACTGAGACCTGTTTCCTCTGAGCCCTGGAGGCTGTGTTCCTCACAGGAGACTCCAGTGCTGCGCCCTCTGCAGGGCGTGCGTTTGGTGTCAGAAGCTGGGGCTTCAGACAACTTTGCAGTTCAGGAGAAACTGAAAAATATGCTCTGGGCGTGTTTTAGCAGGAAGTGTGGCGTTCTGTCAGTTGGGAGGCCGTTCGCGCCGTGCGTCACGATTTGCTGTGTTACTTCTTTCTGTCTTCTGCTTGGAATGAGGCGGCAGAGCTCCTGGTGCTGCAGACCGGACTCGGCGCTCGGTCCTTCGCGCCGGCCCCCCGGCTTCTGGTGTTGGGCGGGTGTGCTCAGCTCTGCGTCTCCTTAACTAGACTGAGGGCTCTGGGAGCAGAATGTTTCCTTTCTCCGCCCTTTGCCTCCTGAGGCATGGAGGCTTCCTGTTGTCTTCGCTCCTGACTCATCTTCCATCTGGAGCGTGTCTGGCCTGTTGGGGGTCGAGACCTGGGGCCGACTGGAGAGGGGCGCCGTGGGCTCCTCGGGGCCCTCGATTTCTCCCGTCATAGAGTCAAAGAGCAGCTTGGCTGAGGGCAGGTGAGCTGCGGAGCAGTCGCCGTGGATCATTTTTTTAAGCTTCAAAAACAGCTGAAGGTACTTGTTCCGAGATTACCCTCGCTGGGGGTTGTGTGTAGACGGCAGTTCTGCCAGATGAAACGTAGGTGGCGCTGCTGCTCTGACTACTGCACACAAGTTCCCGGGCCAGACGGGTCTTTCCAATTTTTCAGTGTTTTTTGAGGCTTTTTCAAGCTAGAGAGAAAACCAGATCATACCCCACCCTGTACTTGTTAACACTCAGGAATACAAGCTTCGTTTTTAGTTGAAATTGCTTACTGTGAGATCACTTTAAAAAGTATCTTTATAGGATAAATATAGAGTAATTTTATTTGTGTTAAAAATGAAAGATGTGTACTTCACATTATTGATATGCGCTTTCAAAAGATCGTCTACAACCAGCTCCCTGTTAAAACTGAGAAAGTCTCATCTTTGAGTGCATTACAGCCATGTGCAAGGTCAGTGCGCGTCCACACAGACACGCCGAGGAAAACAGGTGTCCGGCAGCGTTTGCTGGAGTGACATTTGGTTACTGGATTGTTAGTGGTCGTCCGTGTGGCACGGCCTGACGGTGACGCTCGGGTGTGCCTGTGCCACCCGTCCACGCGCACTCAGCCTGCCAGGCCTTGGTGGTCCCTGCGGTCCTCTGTGGGAGAGGCCTGGGGGGCGGGGGGCGGGCCTGGGCCCTTTCTCCCCAAGTGGCTGGGCCTGGTATGTCTGAAGAGCTTCCATTTGGACCATGACAAGCAGAAGCGTCTTCTGCCTTTGTCAGTCATTAGTGGGAAGGGGCCGTTTAAAATAATTGTTTTCTTTGAGCCCTTGAGAGGAGACTTTTTTTTAACATTTCTAGAAGCCCTCAAAATGCTTTCATCTTCAAGTGTAGTGGTTATAGTCAGACTAAATTTAATTTAAAACAAGCAAATTATAACAAAGTATGAATATTTTAGCGTTTAAAATAAAATGGTGAAGCAAGGAGCATGTCCTCTGGTTTGTGTTTCTCGGTGCCGAGAAGAGCAGTGAACAGGACGCTTATGGGCGAGGGTGCAACGGGGGGTCCCGCGGGGCGGTCCACCACCCCTGCCCCACACCCGGTGCCTTGGAGCCCTTGTCAGCCCCGCGCCCCGGATCAGGCAGCAGGGCGAGGCACAGAGGGGGAACTGTGGAGGGGCGAGAGGCACTCGCCATTCTTTCCCTCAAGCCTCGTTCATTTTGCAAATTGTTCATGAGAGCATCCCCTGTGCGTGTCACCGTAATACATGGTGTTTGCCTTTAGCTTTCTGTTCCTGCCATACCCATGTTTAAGGCACACTGTGGCTCCTTTTTCATGTTTTCGCAATTGTATCTGTTCCCGAAAGGCAGCCGTCACGGCCGTGAGACTGGGAAGTCGTTCCAGGGGAGCTGTTCCACCAGCCCGGTCCTTGGGCTGCAGGTTCTGCTTCTCAGATGACGGCTTGGGAATGAGTGCTGCTTATTTGAATGTATGAGTTTTTTAATATGGACTTTTTAAAAATCGGCCTTGTAGCTTGTTTTATTATATGTTTTTTTGGTGTGTAGTGTGATCACATTTGCCTTATTTTTTAGGGTTCAGAACAAGTTGGAGGTGCTGAATTACACAACCATTCCTGTCTACCTCCCAGAAGTCACGATCGGAGCTCACCAGAGTGACCGGGTCTTCCATGAGTTCACAGAGGTGAGACCCTCGGAGTCGAGGCCGGACCCTGGTGGGTCTCAGACAACTGGTAACAGAGTCACATGAAAAGTGCTTCCTTTAGCGAGAGAGCTCCCTGCTCACTGAGGTGATTCTCCTTCCCCACGTTGTCACTGTGTGTGGAGCTGGCACAGCTCCTCAGGAGGCAGGGCCCCCCGTCGGCACGGAGCTCCGCACCAAGGCCGGCTCCGCCCCGCCGCTCCCCGCTCACTCTGCAACGCCGGGGTCACTTCTCGTGCCGCCTTCCTCGTCACCGCGGCCCCCGCGCTTATCAGGAAGGTGCGGGTTCCTGAGTGGGGGGGCGAGGGCAGGTGTGGGGGCCCAGCTGTTGATGGGTCTTCTTTCTGATTTTTAGTGAATTACTTGTTCTCATCGTGGCTTGTAGAATCGTTTCAGGCAAGATGTCGTGAGCTTAGAGTGCACTGTGAGTTCTGTTCTGGAACCTGGCCAGCGAGTGAGAGCCGCGCTGAGGATGGTGGTGTGGGTGGGATGGTAAGAGGCCGGCGCGCTCCCACGTCTGCTGTGGCCATGGTTTATTGTTGGCAGGCGTGGAGGGACTGTGTTTGTCGGAACCCCGGCCCCCGCAGCGGCACTCAGGACGGTGGAGGTCCGGGCGGGTGCTCCGCGCTGCTGTGACTCTGCCTCGCTGCCTGCAGGTGCTTGCGGCGCCACTGGGTGTCCAGGGACTTCCCGGTTCCTTTCTTTCTTTCTTGAGATACTTGGCATTTTCTTTTAAGTAGGTTCTTTTGGTGGCTTTGAAGGTGATTTTATTCAATGTAGAAATTTTGGGAAATACTTAAAACCATAAGGGGATCACTCAGAGGTACCCACAGCTGGTATTTTGGCACGTTTCTTTCTTGCCGACGTTTGAGGTGTGTGAGTTTGTGTAGCATGTCACTTTCTCGCCAAGTGGAGCTGTGCAGACCGGGGGCTGAGCTGGGGGGCTCGATGCCACCCTCACATCAGCCAGAAGACCTGCCCCCGGTAACTGTCCCCCCACATTTAACGACCCGCTCGGCCCTGTTGAGTCCGTCTTGCAGGCGGCGCCGTCCTCTGTCATCACGGCTGCTCTGTGTGCAGCCACCATCATCTTACTTAAGTTCCTACTGCAGGTTCCTCTCCGGCCTCCATGTCCAGGCTCCCCCCAGCCCTCCTCTGTAACACAGGAGCACCGGTGCTGACATGCAAAACCACCAGAGCCTGTCCCAGGCCTGCAGCCCTTCTGTGGCTCCCGTGGCCTCTGTCGAGTCTGTCTTGCGGGGTGGGTGCCCTGGCTTTGCCGTAGCCACCTCCTCACGACAAGCCTGAGGGCGCCCGCGCCCCCCGTCGGTGTCTGTTGGTCCTTCCACTGGCGCTGGGCCTTTAAGGTGGTCCAGAGAGCTTTAAATCAGATAAGTAACTCGCCCTTTTGAGTTGTAAAAGTCTTCCTCTGATTTTGCCGGTGTGGCGATCTGCAGGGTATAAACGTAATGTCTGTGCCGCTGTGATGAGCTCGCGCGTGGTGGGGAAGCAGCGCGGCGCGCCCAGGCTGCAGTCGCCGGCGGGTGGGGCCTGGCGGCCCAGCTTTGTCTCCGTAGTTTCCTCGTCTGCCCGCTGTTGTGTGTGGTGCGTGGTGCTGGCTTTTTATTTGTGTTACAGACACAAAGTTCCTCTTAACCAGACTGACGTGGACCAAGGTGTGTTTTTAACGTGAGCAGCAGTGCGTTTGCTGTGCAGCTGTGACCCGCAGGCGGCCCGACAGCCGCCCTCGGCCACGCCGGGCGCCGCCGGCGCACTCTTCCCTGCGTGTACCGCGTTCGTCCGTCGTGTGCTTGTTTATCCCACGACGTGTGTGTTGAGTGCGGAGGAGGCACCGGACCTGTCCCGGGCCCCGGGAACAAAGCAGTGCGTGACCCGGGCAGGAGTCCCCCCTCCCTGGGCGCTTAGGTCAGGGTGGGAGGAGAGCAGGGCTCGGTAAGTGGCGCCAACGAGGGCTGTGGGCAGCCATGAACTCCCAGAGCGGGGCGTCTGACTTCAACAGCTCCCCGCTGGGCGTTCCCTCCCCCCGTCTGTGTTTAAATAGCTTATCTTAGTACATGTTTTATATTTTTCTTACCCATTCTTTGTATTTATTTTCTTTCTTGTTTGCTTTCTTTAGGATTTTTTAAACATTTTGTTTTTGTCTTTTTCCCTAGGGGAGGCACAGGGGACTGAACCCAGGACCTCGTGCACGCCAAGCACGCGCCCTACCCCTGACCT